CTCTCTCTCTCTCTCTCTCTCTCTCTCTCTCTCTCTCTCTGTAATTACTCTTTATTTTTTTTTGTTTAGTTTTAATGACTACAAAAAATGAAAAGCAAGTGAAATGAGATTAAAATTAATCTATATTGATACAAATTGGACACTAAAAACGATGAAAAGCAAGTAAGCAACCGAGATTAAAGTTAATCTACATTAGTAGAAATGAATGTTGTGTATATCTGCATATAAGTATGGATATATCGGATATACAGACACTAATTTTACCGACATGCAGTATCGTTACCGATCAAACAGATTCAGAAACTTCACGGTTTACTACTGCGTCGTATCGTTACCGACCGCCGGAATATTATATCGGCCGTTCTCTCATCTGAAAGTTACCTTCCTCCGTGTTTTGCTTCCTTTTCGGTCAATCTTTCGAGATTTACTCGCGAATTCGAAGCTCCTCGACGATGAACGAACGCTACTTTACCAGCCATCTCGCCATGGCTAGAATTACCAACCGTACTCGTTTGAGAGTACGCAAGTAGTATTCCTTTTCGAAAAGTCTTTGGTTCACTAATTAAAATTTTATATTTATCAAATTACAATTATTATTAATCTCCATTAACAACACGAATTATGTTCTAGGAAAATTTTTATTATATTAAACACCTATGTTTAACACTATGTATAAAAAAAAAATTACATTCTCTGCCACCCCCACCGGATAATCTTTTTTTTAAAGGTGGTTAAACGCATAAAAGTATTCTTCTCCCGCAGCGATTTCGATACGGGTAACCCATGGCAGATTCGGGTCGGTAAAGAGACGTCTTTCGGTCTTTTATCCAAGTGCTTCGATTTCGAGGCACTGCCGACGTCGTGCGCATCCCGTGCGCGTTCGAAATACCCGCTCCTACACGGCCGGCTTGCCGGCACGCGCGGGTCGCTTTTTCGCGGAGTCTCGCCGATATCGCACGCGCCGTCCGGTTTGATCGTTGCGACGGCGACGTGCACGCCTGAAAAACTTTTCCCGTGTATATACCGCGAATGTATTTGTGTGCGTGTGCGCGTGTGCGTGCGTGCGTGCGTGTGTGTATGTGATACGTATGTGTGTGTTTCCACGTGCCCGTGAGTAGTCTCTTTGTGCGGCTGAGTGGGCTGAGTGCTCCAGATTTTCTGCGCAAGGGGAACCCAGGTATATATCGCGGATAAGACAAGAAGCGCGCGGATTGTCGGCCTAAGGATGTGCCTCGTCAGTGATAAGAGGTACGGCTCGTAGCTGTGCTACCCTTCTCCTCTTCCGTTTACTTTTTCCTTCTTCATTTTGTTTTTTCATGGAAATTCGATAAATTGATCGCGGCAAGAAAAGGAAATGTAACGTGATTTCGATTATAAATTATGTCTCCTTGTGTACCTCAGCGTGATCGTTGACCGTGCGATCGTTTTGAGTAACGCGAGACTCGAAGCGGCTTATCGTCGCATAAGAATGCGAGCCATATTCTTTTATCGTCGCTATGAAATAAAGAACATGGTGATAGTAGATAGTAGCAACAATTTATCGTAAATTACGGTATTAACTCTCCGTATTAAATTCTGCCTGCATGAATCATTCTTGCGGATTAATTATGTTGAAAATATTGATTAGCTTAACGCGTAAACGCCATTTGGATTCGGGAACTTGAGAAAAAAGTCATTGTAATGCATCTGTGGGTGATGCGTGCACGCAGATCCTTGCACAGTTGTTTTGGGGTTTTCGCGCGGTAATTTATTTTAATCGTCTGACCTTAATTAACAAATTATATTATTCTTAAAATCATCGAAAATAATTCCCAACGTGATGCGATTTTATCACGTTATATAACTCCATTCGAGGCTGTCACTACATGAAATTTATTTTGTGAACTGAAAATTTTACGCATTGTCGAAGCTCGTTTTCCACATAACTCAATCTGTAGAATTAACATATGTCTCCATGAAATGCACCAAGTCTGTCGAACGTTCGAACGATTTATGAACGATAATTTATCGTTAAACGAATATTACGCACAGCCAGCAATATTTTATCTCATTTTAAATCAAACGATGAAAGAAAATAATATATGATATATTAAACTACGCACCGTAATTCCGCTTCAAATTATCAGAATACACTGACAGAAATAAGATATTTAGTATTTGCGATTATAATTGCACGATTAAATAATATGGTTAGAAGCCATTTTTTTTATAACTATTGTAATGTTAGTATATAATATTTATTATTTTATGTACCAAAATATCAATTGTATATGACTTAAAAATTGTTTCGGGGACAATCGTAGGGTTATAGCGATACAACGGGGCTTTTTCGTCCATTTCTCT